AGTGATATGGCGCTCAAAGTGGGTAAACAAAAGAAGGGTAGAGTAATCCTAAAGCATCACAAGTAAATATAAAATTTAATTCCTAAAAAATTAATCCTAAATTATAAAATTTATATTGAAAATGTCAAATACTTAGTGGCTCTCCTTGTAATGAGTTAAGAGGATTTCATGTAATTGAGAATTGCAAGTAGAAAAGTTTAGTGACAATTATAAGCAATAATCTTCTTTACCTTCTCCCGGTAGCATAAAGTAACTTAGTTTTAAATGACTTTATTTCCATAAATCTCATAACTAACCCATCAAATCGTATTTCCCTAACATTTACATCTCCCTAGAAGGCATATCCACCTATACCCACAACTTAATGTGAAAAACCTAGTTTATTCTACCATAGATTTTCTTAAAACTTATGGTTCACAATATATTTTAACAATTCACTTGGTGAGAATTGAAAGTAATTTAAGGTTTGAAGGTTTATCATCACCATATAAAGTAATTAAAATACTACGCAATTCTCATCCCATCCATTCTACTTAATCATCACAAAAAAAAAGTCCACTCAATAAGCATGATAAAACACCAAACAAATTCATTGAAACAAAAAGAAATCCACTATCTACTTGTTACAACTGAAAGACAACAGAAAGTACTCAAAAAGATTTAGCTTTCCATCCTTTACAAGGACCAAGAAAATAACCAATCATTAGTCTTTTTGAATTAATAGACTGTTGCTCCTGTAGAACTCACCCTGTCCTCCGCAATGGAAGAAGAAGGGATCTCCACAACAAGCAAAACCCACTAAGTAACCAATTGACATCAATCTCCACTTAGACTGTAATGTATTGCTATTTATAGGCTCTCTAAGTTGGCTTCCACGAATCCTCTGCAGGTATGCATGATCCCCCACACGATCCACATCTCTAAAGTCTCGAACTGCAACAATCGCCCCTGATATTTTTTGTCGCTTAGGGGCCCAGGGGTTGGCGCTTAGGCGCCAAGCTCTCTATCTGCTGAAGAGTGGACGGGCGCCTAAGCGTCCGACGCCTAGGCACCCATGTTGCAACGCCTAGGCATCCAAGGTGCCTACCTCTCGGGTTGGTAAAGCAGGAATTAGCGCCTAGGCACCCAAGGGACCAACGCCTAGGCGCCGGTGCCACTTTGCATCTTTAATCTCCATGTCTTCTCCAATTTTTGCCACTTCAATTTTCTATTATACCTGCAAGATAAACACAAAAATACATTTCTTAAAGTACAATTTCATCCATAAAAATGTATAAAACATTAAGAAATACTAGTTAACTTTTCTACGCATCAAAATCCCTAAAATTTAAATGTTACTAGTCCCAAAGTAACACCAATGCTTAAATATTGAATCAATTAACTTATAGGAGTGGGTTTCATGGAAAACTAGCTAGAATCATGCCTTAAAAGATCCATAGTTAGGAAAATGCAATATCTCTACTAAATAAGTCCAGTCTAGAGGCTATAAGAAATTTTTTATTCAACAAATAAAATATAATTTTATTTTATTTCAAAAAGAAATTAGTAAATGCTAATAGTGCACTTTAGATATCAAATATACAAAATTATGCTTTTCTTTAAATAGTTTATTAATACTTCAAAAACATAAATAAATTTAGGAATGTAGTAGAGTTTCAATTTAAAAAGAATTTTAGTAAAACTGATTTTTAGTAAGGCTTCTCCTCAATATGTTTTTCATTTAAACCTCCTTTTTTCATACTTTTGGATGAATGTTTCAATCATAAGCATAATTCCTCGAGGATTATTATATTTGGATAGACTTTGTAATAATTTTGAATTCTACTATCATTTCTTTAAATTAAAACACACCACATTCCTTTTCTTTTTAATGTCTTAAAAGTTTAAGAAGTATTAGAAAAATACAATCCTATGGAAGCTAAATTCTTATTAAATATACATCTAAGTGCACCTGGTTTAACAAATAGCTAATACTCTTTGAAAGTATATATGCTAATCACTTTTCCATATGCTAAATTGCAAAGTTTACTTAACACTAGTCTAATTTAATTTACATAAAGTTTAAATTAGTTAACTATGTTTCTCCTTTCTCAAGATTATTATAGTTCCATATTTATCCTCACTTTCCTCAAGTTTACTAAAAGCAACTATTAAAATTTAATTTACTAACGACAAAATAATCTTAAGCACCACAAGATTCTTCCCCTCAAACTTAATTCCAAAACACTTATCGCAATTTAAACATGAATTCAGATGGGGCGACAAATATCAGTAATACTTCTTTTGAATTGCAGTGTTCCCAAATATCTTAATTTCTCAAGGGTTACTGAATGCATTTCTTCGCAAAGCAGTCCCCATACAGTTTCAGGGTTCATGAATTGTAGTCTTCCTGAAGTTCAACTTTTTAAAAAGGTGGTATTTTTTGACATATAGAAGATTTTGGTTGTAGGAATGCAAATATTATTTTAAAAAGGATTTAAAGGCTAAAATAACATAAAAATGTATTTAATGAATATATTAAACACAATAGTAAAACATGAACTTGACAATTGTGATTGATTCTCATATGTATAATAATAGAGTAATACACACCAAAAGAGTGCATCTTCAAAATTCATTGGCATTCACCAATTAGAATCTGAAAGTCACTTGCATCTTAAATTTCACATTTTTTCTCCTATAAATCCTCTTCATGCATGCACCTTGATTAAAAATGACTCCACAGTCAGCCTACATATGCCTTGTATGTTTATTTGCGTGTAACCTCTTACAATAAAAATGACAACTCATTAAAAGAAACAAAAAAGAGCATTCATTGTCATACATTGCATGATTTTAACATGGAGATCTCATTAGCTGGTCTCTCTCTCTTGCTCCGGGAACTGGTGATAGTGGATTGAGTTGTTCAGAAAAGCATTCATAGGAAGCTCTCTAGCGAGCAAGCATCCCACGTGATGGGCGAAAGCTATGTGAGTGCGCGGAGATGGTTTGAGATGTGAGGATTTCCGATAGCTCTGGCTATTAATCTCAAATTCAATAAAAAAGAAATGCACCTGAAAGTGAATGCTTACAAGTAGGACTGTCAAGACAGATGGTTGTTAGTGAATAATTCGTGTTCGATTCATCAATGAGTTTGTGTTTGATTTGTTCGATAAACAAACGAGACAAACACGAACAACTTTTTTTCGTTCGGTTTATAAACGAACCAAACACGAACATTCATGTGTTTGATCGTGTTTGAATCATTTTTGTTTGAAATATAAAATAATTTAAAATAATTATATATACATAATTTATCATTTTTAAAAAATAATTATATAATCTAAAAATTTATCACACTTTGAAATATTAAATATTATAAATTATAATAATGATTTATAGTTTTTTTTAGAATTTTATAGTGAGTTTTTTCATGCAGTAATGAACCTGACACATTACAAGCAACTTCCATTCATTAAGTTATGTGAATTATGTATACAACTTCATAATTTACGAGGACATGTTGTTGTATTTTGTTCTTTATGCAGATGTTGGAAAACCCGACCCAAAGAGAGTTTTTTATGACGATGACCACTGATCGTTGGGTTAATTATTTATGTTATTTTCATGAAGATGGGGATGCTTAAATTTCATTTATTTTTAGTTGGACAATTTATATTTGTTTTTCATTAGGACATTGTCTGTACTGCTTTGGATATTTGATTTTTCATAAGTACACTGTCAACAATGTTTTGGATATTTGTTTTTCATCGTACAGTTTGTTCTTTGCTTTTCCAAGTTTATTTATGATTCTGGTTTGTTTAAAGAATGTTCTAATAGTAGCTAATTCAGTGATTCTTATATGTGTTAGCTGCATAGACAATGATTAACATTGATGCAAGTAGAGAAATATGCGGAAGAAGAATCACAACTGCAGTGTGTTTGATGTATGAGTACTACAGCTCATACATAGCTTGCTCTCCATGTATGAAATCTTATATATTAGTGATATGTGGGTTGGGGAGTTGCTTGTAGGGCACCAAATAAAATTCACAGTATGTTCAGTATGATACAACCCACATTCATCAATCTCTTTGAAGAACTACACAGGAATCATGAACTTCATGACTCCTCCAGGATAACTTCAAGAGAAGTGTTAGCAATAACCCTCTACAGTTTATCACAAAAAAAAAAAAAAATCCATGAGAAAATTCATGAAGCAATTTTAACGCTCATCTAAAACAATCAGACTTGCACCAGGATGGGGAAATGTGCATGGGAGATGAAAGAGCCGAGGGAGTAATTACAGATGTCATCGTTGTGGGGGCACATAGAGTGATTATATTTTTTTTCTCTTTATTTGAAATATTTTGTGAAAATATTTATTGTTTATTGCATTGATGATTTATGCAATGATGAATATTTTTAATTTCAATGTTATTTTCAATTATTTTTTATGTATTTCTTTTCACTTGAATGACCTGCGAGACAACTAAGGGTGTAAGATAATGCAAATTTTTATTGCATGCTTTTTTAAGGTCTTTAATGAAATATTCAACTTTATGAGTTCTTATGGATGAGCTATATATTGTTATTGGTTCTTGTCATGTGTGAAATCCTAGTGAAGGTAATCAAATTTATTTTATTTTTTCTGTATTGTGACTTTTGAGGTTCTTCTATATGAATTTTTTTTGGTGATATGCATTTGTAAAAAAAAGTGCGAGATGAGTATTGCGTGATTTAAAGGCAACAAAAAATCCTCTTTTTTTTCATAAAGTCTACTATTTTCTTGTAGTGACAAATTTATTGGTTAAAACTCCATTCTCCGAAACCTCCCGGTTTCATAAAATTGAAATTGATTAGTTCTAATATTCTTTATTGCTAATGTTACGTCTAAGGTCAGTGTTTTTGATTTTGAACTTTAAGAAAAAATGAGCCCAAGGACTTTCTGGATTATAATGTTGAGTGCTTACTTGCGCAACAGTTTTTAATAAAATGTAGCTGCTAATAGATGTACTTGATATTAGTTCCCCCTCCCGCTCGATAAGAAATGCGCGCTGTTTTCTTTATTTTAAATCCGAACGCATGAGCACGATATCTATCACCTCACCCAGCCATGACAGCAACCACGCCCACCACCGCCGCTGGCCGAAGGCAAAACAATTGCGAGACGTCACCGCCGCCGCCTTTCACCGCCAACGACATCATCCTCCTCGCTCAAAACATCTCAGCCACGCTTCCCCCATCCCTCTCCTCCTCCAATCTCCTCCCTCTACTCCACTCACCTTCACCATCCCTCCTTTTCTCCCTCCTCTCCCTCTTCTCCCGCTCTCCTCCATCATCCTCCCTCCTTACCCCCGTCCTCCGCTCCTTTCTTCGTCTCTTCTTCTCCCGCAACCTCCCCAGAGACCTCGACTCCTCCTGCCTCTTTCACCTCATTTCTCCTCTCCTATCCAAGCTTAACCACTCCGATCTCTCCTCCATACTCGATATTCTGTCTTCTCACCTCTCCGACATTAACGATGCCGACAAGGCCCAGGCCCTCGACCTCCTCCCTCACCTCCTCAACCTCGCCAACCCCTATGGAGAGCTCATCGACGCATTCCTCGAAAAACTTCTCTCCGTCAGCTGGTCCAAGGCACTTCTTGTCAAAATGTGCTCTCTCATCCGGGAGTGCCCGGCTATATCTAGGGTTAGGGTTTCGGAGTTTCTTCGGAAGATTTTCGACGGATTGAGGGATGCGGACATCCAGGACCTCCCATGGCTGGTGTTCCAGCTATTGCTGCTCGCTTGTAAGGGAATTAATTCGGTTTCCAGAAAGCAGTTGATTGCCGATTTGTTAAAATTTTTTGGGGAGCCAATGAAGGCCCCGGCTTCAGTGGTGCGGCAAGTGGAGGGGACTGTTCTGATGCACGTGAACTTCTCCATTAAGCAAGATCCCTCGCTGGGTTCGGAGGTTATCGCCGTTGTTCGCTCCGATCTAGGTACGTTCAACCATTTTGCTGCTGCGGTTTTGTTATCGGTGGCCAGGATTCGGCGGTTCAACGAGAGCTCGATTGGCGCCCTAAAATCGGTTGCTGTTGGTTCTCACCAGGATTGCAAATTTGCAAGGTGACATTCCTCATTCCATTTTGTTCAATTTTATTATTGAGGATTGTTGAGTTAGAATCACTGAATAATATAAAGCTCTTAGTTTTTTTTATTTTGTAATCCATTGCTCCTAGTTTTCTAGTTCTTACAAACAAGCAAAATTGTACTATCATTTTAGGAATGTTTTTAGCTGGCTTCATGAGTAAAGCGAAGCTATGCGCATGACGCCTACTTCACTTTGCTGAAACCCTCTTCAAAGTTAATTTCCATGTTTTCCTTACAATTTTTAATTTTGAAGTATTGCAATAAACAATTAGAAATTACAATTAGAAATCGTTCAAAATTTTAATTTGTAGATTCAATATTTGCCTTTAAGTTAGGTATCATACAACATTCTTTTCTATTTTTTATGAACTTTCAAGTTGTAATTTATATTTTATAACTTTTAATGAATGTATTTATACAATAAACATTATATATAACTTATTAGTGTTTTATTTAATAAAAGTGTCATTTTGTCCTGCAATTTGAGCTTTGAAGTAAAAATAAATCATTGCAACATTGCATTGCTGCATTTTAGCAAAACTAATGATCCTTTTATTTCCTTTTCAATTTTTAAAGTCTCTAGAAAAAAGAAATATTAAATGAATAACCATGGTTTTGTCCTGTTAATTAGAGACTGGGTTGGTGACAAAGTTATGACTTGTTTGCTCGTGTTCGGCTCGTTCGATATTGACTCGTGTTCGAAATCCGCTCGTGAACAGTGTGCTTGTGTTCGACTCGAATAATATTGTTTGGCTCGAAATTGACGCGTTATAATATAAAATTATTAAAACAATATTTAATTTTTTAATATAAAATAAGAATTTTATGTGAAATTTTTCAAGAGCAAATTTGGGACAAAACCCAAGTTATTTATTAACTAAAAAAATTGATTAACTAAAAAAAAAGTTAATTTGAAGACAACTTTCCCCAAATTGAACACAATTTAAGACAATATTATCCAATTAAAATTGATATTATTTTACAAATTGAAGACAAATTTAAGATAGAGCAAATTGAAGACAATTTTCTTCAATAAAAAATTAATATTATTTTACAAAAAAATTAACAAGATAAGAACCATTTTATGCATTTATTCACTATTTATACAAATTACAAAATCAAGCATCGAACTCTTATTCCCCACTATGAGCTCTTTGTTTCCATTAATGCATTTAAATGCTCCGAACTTCTTAGCATTTACTTCATTTGTCCCTAAATCACGTGTTATATATCCATCTAAAACTGTTAAACCTACAAAAAATATAAAAAATATTATCATCATTATTGTTTCAAAAAGTGATATATATATATATATATTAATGCAAAAGGTTATGACACCAAGATGTTATGAATGTAAATATTAAACTTTAGGTGCTAGATATGTAATTACATACGATTGTGTAAATTTCCCTAATATAAGACATAATATTTTTATTTCTATACATTAAACAGTAAAAAAAATAAAATTCATACAAAAACATATTTAAAATATCTACAAACAACAAAATAAACCCTAAGCATATTTTTAGTTACCACCTCGAACACGTACAACATGTGTAGGCAATGGAAATTGTGGTAAAACCTGAAAATGCAAAAAATATCAGTAACACTGATCTGAAATATAAGAACAAATAAGAAATGAAAAAGGGGTGCATTAATTACACTCACCCCAATACTTATCAAATTTACCTCTCATGTTGTTTCTGTTAAACTAATCAGAAGAAGTCAACTTATTTAGTAACAATTTTTTTATATGCATAACAACAATTAAAAAAAATATTTGAAGTGGGGTAGGAAAAACCTGAAATCATTTTTTTCACATTATTGAAATCATCAAAAAATTTTCTGATTTTATCATATTTATTCCAATCTAAATCTGAAGGCAACCAACTGAAATTATTATCTCGATCTGTAAAGTGAGTGAACATATTACGAAAAATAAGAGCAGATTCAAACATTAAGAATGTTGAGTTCCATCTTGTTTGAACATCAATGCACAAACCCTTAGTTGTTGATATCTCTAATTGTTTGACTATGTCAACAAATTTATGCAACTTTGTTGGCGATTTCTTTATATATTTGATAGTCTCTCTAATATTATAAATGATATATTGAATCTCTTTTAAGCCAATATGTACCATAATATTTAAAATATGCGCACAACAACGAACATGAAAGTAATGCCTCTTAAAATATAGTATTCCTCTTGCCATAAAATTTGAATAGACCAAGTTAGCAGCAACATCATTATTATTAGTGTTGTCTAAAGTGATAGTAGATACTTTGTCATGTATTTTCCAATCTAGCAAACAATGAGAAATGACATCACAAATGAAGTTACCGGCATGAGGTGAATCCGATTCAATGGAATTAATGACTCGTTTTTGAATCTTCCAAGATTGATCAATATGGTGAGCAGTTAGACACATATATACGATAGTTTGATTGGAAGTCCAACTACTAGATGTTAATGAAAACCTGTGAATATCCCCAATTTTTTTTTTCAACTTCTCTTTCTCAAACTCAAAATCTTCATACAATTATTTTTTATGTTTTTCTTAAAATTTTCTCATAATTTGAGTTCAAGGACTTCAAGAGATTGTTAAACCACGTATGTTCAACAATACTAAAAGGATACTCATGCACTATAATCATTTTGAAAATTATCTCTCTAAACTTTTGTTGATCGTAGCTTTTTGGATCATGAAATACTGGGATCTCAATATTTGCATCAACATCAAATGACATAAAATTTAACATTTTTTGCCTTTTGTTAGATAAATCGCCGGTTTCCTTGCTTTTAACTTTCATTTGTCCACATTCTCTAATATGTCGTAAAAGTTGAGAAGTGTTTCCTGTTTTTGATTTTTGAAATTTTGATTGGCAACATATGCATTGCCAAAAGGAAGTTGGGGCCCCCTTAATTGGAAATCTTGCCTCCACAAAATACTCTCACACTGTGGACTTCATCTTCCTACCCTTCTTAGTAGCGACTTCTTCACTATTATTATGAATGACAACATGAGGTACTACTTCTGGCTCTGTATTTTGTAAAGTAAGATTGACATTTTCGTTGCTAGTATGTGCTTCTGGTACAACTAACAACTTATTGCTGGATGATTCAGATTGTGAAAGATTTAATTTAGACATATTTGCACGCTAAATAAAATCAAAAACACATAATTAATATTACTTTAAACAAACAACATACTACATAACATTTAAAAACATAAGAACTGAGTGGTATATATATAAATTTCCCTATAAGTAAAATAAAATCATTGGTAAAATGATCGTATGCACTCATTTCTAGATAGATCATTCCTCCAGGAAGGGTCTTGAAAGAAACTAATGTTAAACTAGAGCTTTCATGAAATAAAGCATCTTAAAATACAGAGAAGAAATCATAGTACTATGAAAGCAATGACAGACCACGAGCAAAGTTTCATATAAGGATTGAGCTCATATGTTTTCATTGTGACAAGCCAAGGCATAATTGGCCACAATGTTTACTTTTAAAAAGAGAATAAAGGTAGAAGCAGAAAAATGAATTAAAGAAAGATGATGTTAATATAATAGCCAAAATAGAAAGACAAATTAAATATAATTGATGATTCATCCACTCATCTATGACACATGTGACTTGGTCAAATGAGTCAAAATGATATAAAGAAACTCCGCTAAAAATAGATTATTGCTAACCCGGAGCTTACAATGGATATGTGTAAATATAGAAAAATAAGAGCAAATTCATTCTTTAGCTAATAAACAACATATAGTAGCTTTAAAAACTTTCCCTCCATCTAGAAAAGCTAATGTGTTGGATTTGGCTCATACTAATAATTTTTCTATGGATTTTATGAGCCTTGGTAGCACTTAGTAAAGTTTGCGACTAAATGGTCCCCTGAAAAATAGTCAACATATCATTTTGGCACCTTTCACAAAAGATATCCATTGTGCTACAATTTTAGAAACTAAATCAACTAAATTTATTTGCCTCGCAGTCCAACCATCTACTATATTCTCAATTCTTAAGAAAATTTTCAACCGTAGAGAAAACAAGTGAAATATAACATGTACAAGACATAAAAACTGTCATAACAGTTTATGATATAATTACAAATTCATCATCAGCCATTTTCTTCAATTGGCCTAGCCAGAGAATATATACAAATATAAACTTAGCCAATTCAGCAGGTCACTAGGCTAATTTTTCAAAAGTGAAAAATGAAAGGGGCAATTATTGGTTTATCACCCAAGTCTTTATTATTTATAAAACCAACCCCCAAGCATTTCTATTTACAATAACACCATTTTATTCTTAAAAAGCGTGGGTTTACACATTTAGATATAAAGACCAAGCTTCAGAAAGATGCATGCCCTAAACACTCTCTTATATGAGATCTCATCCATACAAAAAAAAAAACATATATAAATGCAATATGTGAGATTTCGCTGCCAAAACCCTACAAAGCTAGATTTCATTCAAAAAATCTACATAAATCTAAAAGAAATTTAAGAAAATTTAAGATAAGAGACGAGCCCGAAAATAAATAGGAAATATTAGAGAAAATATACTCAGAGATAATACTTAGGTAACCAAACGAGCAACCAACGAATGAAGAAAGAATATCGACAAACTACGCAAGAACACCGAACAATCGAGCCAACACTGACTATCAGAGGAGAATAGAGTTAGATATTAGCAGAAGAATAGAGACGACAAACCCTAAGCAGTCGCAAGAGAAGACGAGAAGAGTAGAACCTTAAATGGGAGAGGCAGCCGAACCCGAGAAGTTTCAAGAGGCGAATGCAGATTGGGGAGGTTGGTTAGGGTTTTATAGATTAATAGATATATAATATATTATAATTATATAACTTATATTATATTTTTATATAAATATATAATATTTAATAAGTAATATTAATATATTATTATTATTAATTTGTTATATATTATTATAGAATTTAATTTTATAACATATGCTAATTTTTTTTAAATTTAATTAATTATAATTTATAATATTTAATGTTATGAATATTTGTTATGTATTTATTAATTAATTAATTAATTATTTATTTTCAAGCCAATTCGAGCCGAACACGAGCGAACAAACTATTGTTCGTGTTCTACTCGTTTATATTTCGAGCTTAAAAATTTGTTTGTGTTCGGCTCGTTAGGCTTAACGAACGAGCCGAACACGAGTTGCTTAACGAGCCGAACATGAGCTGTTCCTGAACAGCGAGCCAAATTGACAGCCCTAAACATGACTTCCAATCTTATGTTTACGGTTTTCTTTTTAAGTTGAACTAACCAATGGTTGTTTTTCTAACAATGGTAGAGCGTGGCTTGGGTTGCATCCAATGCAGGAAATAATGCTTTGGTTGCTAGTTAGGAAGGATTGTTTGAGTTGAGTGCAACTTAGTCATACATAGTAGATTATATTTAACCTGGTTTGTGTGCATAGACTGCAACCAGATGTAAACTTTGGTTGGGTTCCAATCAAATATATATGCCTATGTTTTGTACAACCTAAGCTCTATCAATAAGAATATGTACTTTTTGCACACTCTGAAATTTGATAATAGAGGAATTGGCCTGAACTATTGCAGAAACCTCTAAATTCAAAATTAATTAATTATGTTTTATGCTCAAGAAAGAAATTCCTTATATAAATAAATATATAT